TTTTTTTTTTTTTTCCCCATAACCCCTCCCTAGCACACTCTACATACCTCATAATCTAATTATGTATTCTGTTTATTGTGTGTCTTCCTTATAGTTTATAAACTCTATGAGGGTAAAAATTCTTGTATGTTTTGTTCACTCATGTGTTTCCAATGCCTGGCCAGGGGCTAGCACATAGTAGAAGATTGTTGAATATTTGTTGAGAAGTGAATGAGCTAAATATTAGGATATTTATTATATTACTTAAGTATCTTTGGTTAATTCTTCAAACCTTACACTTTTTTTCATGATTACTATGGAATTTCATCAAGCTGTTATAAAAATACTAATGAGACGAATTGTATACTTTGTGGTTTTATTCTCCCCTGCTTTTGTAAATATTATGTCTTTTTCAGGGAAAAGCATCAGAGAAGCTTTCTGAAAACAGTAAAATATTAATCTCCATGGCTAAGGAAAACATACCACCAAACAGTCAACAGACGGGGGGTTGCTTAGGTAGGTCATTAGTTGTGCTAAACATTTTTAGCAGGCTGTTGTGAAAGGGGGATTCTTTGGAATTCCACTAACTCTTTTGTTTTTGTTTTTTCACATATTATAATATGTACTACCCATGAAATATACTGAGAACTCTGTATCCATTTGATAAAATACTTGTTTGGTTATGTTTGATAGCAATCATAGTAGTAATCATACTAAAAATTAAATGAAATTTTTGAGGGAGTTTGTGTGTGTGTGTGTGTGAGAGAGAGAGAGAGTGTAGAAGCTGTATTTGTTGAATAAATATAGTACACTACTTAAGATAAAAGAAAAATGCTTAAAGGATATAAAATGCTATGAAGTAAAGGGCCATTTTAATTATTGATAACCATATTGAAATTTTAAAGAATACTATAGTCGCATTGATTCTCTAATTATGATTCCATATGAAAATATTTAGAAACTTTTTACCACATTTTGATTTGTTGGTAAATATACATTTTTTTTAAAGAAAATGTATGTATATTTTAAATGTATATGTTGTGAATTACTGATGATAACTGAAACTTTTTCATAAAAAGGAGGTCAATAAGATGAGTTCATTTGGTTAAAGTACTCTCATATGAACTGTTATTCTTGGCAACAGGTACAGTCTTTAACTGTTAGCTGTTTTGCATCTGTATGCCACTGAACACAAGGGTATGCTGGCCAAGAGACTAGATTGTTAGTGGGCTCTTTGTCTCTACCAGAAAAGAATCTCAGAGAAAATGCCCTTTTCTCAGTATCAGATTTATAAATAACCCTTTTAATTCTGATTCTCTTACAAATAACTGGATAATACATGACTTTAATAAATTTAAATATTATATTGTGGTAAATTTCCTTAATCTGATGGTTAATAAAGTCATGTGAGCATGACTCAACTTCTTTATCTGTAATATAAACAAATTAGCTGTCTTCCATCCCTAAGTTTTTATGAGTGCAAATTTTGAATTTTCTTTTTAAGCTTAATTTTTTTTTAAAGTTTAATAATAGGTTTTCTCAGGTAGTAAGGTCAGACAGAATCATTTTGAAATTCTAGAGTTGGAATTTACTTTGGATTGAGGCAGTTATGCCTTTGTGACCTGGCACAAGTTATTTAGCTTCTTTGTCTTCTCATCTTAAGAACTGGCATTTACCTTAGAAGGCTGTTATGGGCAATAATTGAATACATAAACAAATTTGACAGGCACATAATTGGTAAGTTTACTTAAAGACAGCAACCTTACCTTGTTCCTTGTTATTCCTTAGGCTCTGTCTTCGGCCTTCTTCACTCCCTGACTGACCTCATATGCTCACATGACTTTATTAAGTATCATTGTGTTCATAATTCCTAGATCTCTGTTCTACACCCAACCTCTTTTATGAGCTCCAATTTCCTACTAGACATCTGTACTTGATATTGTAGATTTAAAATCAACACGTGCAAAATTAACTTACACTCCTTTTAAACTTTCTGGTGCTCCCCATGTCTTTGAGCTGTCTGCCTAGTCATGCTTGACCCCATTCTTCCCCTTACCTCCCACATCTAAGCAATTACACAAGTCCAGCTGCTTCTATTGCTTAAGTCTCAAATAGGTTCACTTTTCTCTATTCCCTCTGACATTATTATATGCAGGCTTCCATCTGTCTCTCACTTAGATTTTTTTCAACAGCTTCTTAATTGTTCTTTTTGTTTTATAATATAGCTCTGTCTAATAGGTCTCTAAGGAGCTCTGGTGATATAGTGGTTAAGGCATTTGGCTGCTAACCAAAAGGTTGGTGGTTTGAACCACCAGCTGTTCCGTAGAAGAAAGGTGAGGCAGTCTGTGTCCTTAAAGATTTACAGCCTTGGAAACCCAATCTGGATCACTATGAGTCAGAATCAACTCGATGGCAGTGAGTTAGTTTGGTTTGGAAAAAGTCTCTTCCCTGCCCTTGATATCCTTTTGAAAAACAAATCTGATCCTATTAGTTTCTTTTTCATACACTTCAAAAGCTTCTTTGACCCTATAAGATAAAAGCCCAGACTTTCATACTATTTTTACTCTTTTATTACTTTTTCCAGATTGGGTTGACTACTCCTACCATGAGCAGCTATGGTATTGGTTCTTCCCTTGAAGAGCAGTTTTGCACCTGTTTGTTCATCTTTCTCTTGTACTACAACGTTGTGCCAGCTTGCCTGTCATTGTATCTCCAGCCTAGCACAGTGCATGGCACTTAGGTTCTTAAAAAAGATGTTCTGAATGAATAAATGTCCCTATTACAAAAAGTGAAATCACTTCTCATGTGTTTGCAGAATTTAGTTTTCATGGAATGATTATTGCCAAATGAAGCAATAATTATTTTTTATGTATTTTGAATCTTATTAAGAATCATAATGTAATTAGAGTAATTTTATACCAACATTCAGTTACTGATCTCTTGCCTTCGTAACTGTGGGCTTAAACTGAGGCCAGATACCTAGTTTTTGATACTGGGAAGATGTAAAATAATTGTAGAGCTGAGTTGTCTCATCTAGGAATTATAAAACAAACAGGTGTCTAAGACATTTGACTGCTAACTGGAAGGCTGGCGGTTCAAACCCACTAGGCACTCTTCAGAAGGAAGACTGAGCGATCTACTTCTGTAGTGATACTGCCTTGGAAACCCAAGGGGGGGTCGCTATGAGTTGGATCCGACTTGACGGCAGAAAGATTGGGTGTTTTTTTTGGTCTAATAAAGGACAAGTTTTGGAAATTATATACTGTATTAACTTGTTGAGGTACTTGCTTGTTTATATGTTCATTTGATAGACTCCATTGGTTCCATAGTCGAGTTGGCTGTAATCTTTATGGAGGCTGCTTGCGAGGCATGGATCTTCCAAGGTGCTGCTGGGTGGTATTGAACAGGCAATCTTTGGGTTACTAGCTGAAAGCAGACTATCTGTACCTCCTAGGGACCTTGTACTGTGTTAACTTAAAGCTCTTTGACATTGTAGTTCAAATGACTAAGGAAGCATAGTAGCAGTCAGTTGTATATTAACTGGCAATATTTTTTGTTTTGAACATTTTATGGTGCTTTAAGTGAAAGTTTACATAGCAAATTAGTTTTCCAATCAATAACTTATACAGAAATTGTTCCCTAACATTGATTGCGATCCTTGCAATGTGTCATCACTCCCTCCTTTGCCTATCTGGGTTTCCTGTTTCCATTCCTTTGGTTTCCCTGTCATTCCTGCCTCTTCTCTTCTTTGGTTTTGGGCAAACAGTTTTACATGTACAATATCACTGAACTGTAGAAATTGTTGAATTGTTCTCTAACTAGAGGGTAGACACTCATGAGTTCAACAATTTATACATGTACAATTCAGTGACATTGATTACATTCTTCATGTTGTACAACTATTCTCACCCTCTTTTTCCAAATTATTCTTCCATTGTTAACATAAACTCACTGCTCTGTAAGCTTCCTGTCTGACCTTATGAGTTGCTGTTAGCAATTTGATCCCATATAGATCTTTAAAAGAGTAAGAATGTTCAGCATAGACATTCTTTAGTAATTAAGCTAAATTGTTGTTTGGTTTAAAGAACAATGCTTTGGAAGATAATTTTAATAGATAAAATGATTCAGCCAAATAACATATGACACAAAAACATTGTTCTACATCCTACTTTGGTGGGTAGACTGGGGTCTTAAAAGATTGTAAGGGGCCATCTATATGCAACAGTGGGTCTGTCCTCGTCTAAAGCAATGAAGAAAGAAGAAAACCAAGACACATGGAAACAATTAGTCCAAGGGACTAGTGGACCATGCGAACTTCTCCTTATATGACTGTGAGAGCAGAAGAACTAGATGGTGCTCAGCTACTGCTGTCAACCACTTGGAAAATGCAGGAGATCCTAGATAGGGTGGGAGAACAATGTGGAACAAAACTCAAAAATCATAAAAGAGACCAGGTTTATTGGTGTGATAGAGCCTGGTGAGACTCCCTGAGACTATGGCACTCAGTTACACTTCAGTTGTGGAATTGAGTGCAGTCCCGTGACTTCCAGCCAAACAATAGACAGACATATAGGGTGAATATTTATACTACATAGATACACTCCTGGGGAGACAGGACCCACCCCCAGAGGCAGGAAAAGGAGGGATCACCAGGGATGAAGAAAGCGGCAGGATCCAGGTAAGGGGTGGGAGACAGAGCAGCAGGATCCAGGTAGGAATAAGGTAAGGGGAGGGTGGAGAGGTTTCCAACAGCTAAGGGAGACAAACTTGTCTGTCAGTTTGTCATTCTGTGGTGGCTTGTGCGTTGCTGTGTGGCTTGAGGCTGTACCACTGGTGTTTCAAATGCCAGCAGGGTTGCTCATGGTGTCCAGGTTACAATGCAGCTTACAGACTGAGACAAACTAGGAAAGAGGAGGAGGCCATCACTTCTCAAATAATTGGCCAGGGAAAACCTTATGAATAGCAGAGAAACACTGTCTGATATATACTGGGCAACTTTATGAATAGCCTGGAAACATTGTCCGATACAGTATGGGAAGATGAGCCCCTTAGGTCATAAGGCACTCAAAATACAACTGGGAAAGAGCTATCTCACCAGAGTAGACCAATCTTAATGATACGGATACAGTAAAACTTTTGGGACCTCCATTTGCTGACATGGCACGACTCAAATTGAGGAGTCACAGCTGCAAATATCCATTAATAATCAGAACATGGCATGTTCCAAGTTTGAATCTAGGAAAATTGGAAGTTGTAAAAAATGAAATGCAACACATAAAGATTGATATCCTAGGCATTAGTAAGCTGAAATGGACTAGTTTTGGCCATTTTGAACCAGACAACCATATGACCTACTATGCTGGGAATGACAATTTGAAGAGGAGTGGCATGGTATTCATCGTCACAAAGGATGTTTCAAGATCTGCCAATACTGACAGTACAATACTGTCAGTGATAGAATAATATCCATACACTTACAAGGAAGACCAGTTAATACTAATACTATTCAAATTTAC